GTGTGGACTTGGTGTGCTGGAGGGATGCTGAAGTCAAGAGAAAACAGAGGTATGACGTGTTGGACTATTTATAGGGGTTTGGTCTTAAGCTGATGGGATAAACAAATGATTGTCTGGGATGAATTAGCCTCATCAAAGACTGATTGTGCTCCTCCACCCGAAATTCATTCATAAAACATCACAATGATGTGTGCATTTTTTTTTCACAAAACATTTGCCTGCAGTGTGAACTTAGCCTTTTACTCAGCAATCTACATGTGTTTGTTAAAACATAAAATGCCAATTTCATAATAAACACACTAAATATAAATAATTTTGTGTCCACAAGTGTTTAAATGCTTTAGTATTTAGCAGTAAAGCATTTTCTGTTTAAACATAAAAACCTTAAACTGCAAAAAATGTAATAAAATGCAAAAAAGTTATATAGTCATATAGTGTTATATTAATACAGTGCTCAGCATAATTAAGTACACCCCAAAACATCCTAAAAAAGAATAGTTTTATACATTTCTTAGTGAATAAAGGCAATGTATTTTAGTGCAATTAAAACATAACAGATTTACTATTTAGTCACCAAACATATTTAGAAATGAAAAGATAATACAATTAAAATCAGGCAAAAAATTGCAAAACAATGCATTTAAAATTTACAACTAAATTTAAAATAAAAATTCTAACCTAAAAAATGTTAAACTAACTTCTCTCTATTTTTTCTCTTTATTAGAATTTTTATTTAATATTTTTCTATTACATAAATTTTGGTGTACTAGTTTTCAGACCGTTATCAGAAGTTAAAGTATTTTGCTAAATAAGCTCCAGATTTGGCTTCAGCACTGACTAATCGAGTGTATATGCACAAATATAATATTGTATGGCTTCCTATTAAAAATATGAATTTAAAAGATAGATTTTTGAGGGGTGTACTTATATATGCTGAGCACTGTAGCTTTGATCATTAACAAGCAGCTATAAAGGAAAACAAAACATTATTTCGCCAACTGCTCTCACAACTCTGTATGTGCTTTTTTTCCAGACACACAAACTGACCGTGGTTCACTGAATGCCCTTGAGCCTCAGAGATCAACTGAATCCGAGATAAAATACCAGTATTCCAGGTGGCTGTGGGATTGTGGACACAAGCAAACACTGCATCGCAGCCATCAGGTCATGGCCATGAAGCCATTTAGAGCTTTATAACATGGTGCCTGTCATCCTTTTTACTTTAAGTCTCAAAAGACAGTCCTGCGTTTTCCATTGCTAGTAGTTTTAGTGACAATGCAGTTGTTCCCTGCCAGCTCTGGATCACCCTGATGCTTAGTACCAGCCATAAGTGCAAGAGAAGATTAATACTGATGACATAGTGCGCTAGTACTCTCATTTTTCATTAAGTCTGTCAGCGAGTGGTAAATTGGGTCCTGCATCCTCCTTAGAAAAGCTTAGAGAGGAACACAGTCGGCGGCTGTGTTTCAAACGACTGGGAGGTAAGAATGACCTTGTCTACAGTCTCAGCTGTATGACAGTCACCACAAGGGTTCAGACCACTGCCTTTATTTTTCGGTTAATCCTGAGATTTGAACTCTAACCACAACATCTCATTATCCAGGGTTTGACAGACACAGTAGACAAACACACAGAACACTAAAAAAAATCACTTCTATTCTCCTTGAAATGCTTCAGAATATATTATTATCAAGCTGCATTTAATATGCTGCAATTCAAAGAGTAGATTGTGCAATGTACATTGATTTCTCAATCGAAAAAAAAAAGAAACACTGGATGCCCTAATCTGCATAATCAAAAGACTAGTCTCAGTGTTAATTGAGCCTCCCACTGTCTAATTACTTAAATGAAATGGAGTGCAATTAAATCTCTCTCTCGTTTATTCAATTGTTCTGTTTAGTGACTGGAGGGTTTGCTCGATTTTATGAAGCAGAATTACATAACTCATGTCGATCTAACCATGCACGTCTTTGACTTTTTTAGCTTGATCTGAAGTGTAGCACAATGTATAAGCATGTGTGGCAGCTTTCACGGGTGGTAGTTACAAGAACTCAGTCTTAAGAACTTACTGTCACTCCCTTTTCTCAATTTCCTAACTGCATTCATACAGTCAACAATGAACTCTGAAGAGTCACAAGTTGACCAATAAATCTAATCAAGCACTGCCTTCAACAAACTCAAAAAAGTTTTGAATGGCACAACAAACGGAGGAGTGATTTACCTAATGATAATCTGTAGTGCTGCATATTATTGAGGCTAAGAAAAGAACTTGCTTTTATTTCACTGCATTTATGTAAACAATGAACACTCTTGTATTTCACTAAAGACATTTTCATTAACAAATCATTAACTTTATTTATGACTGTTTTACATTCAAGTGGCATTTGGCAGCGTTGGCAGCGTGTGGCTGTTTGAAAACCTCAGAATCGGTGAAAGAGATACTTGCAATGCTTTTCGAAAATTTCAGAAAGCGGTGAGCAGAAACATTTCTTGTTTTGCAACGCATCAATTTATTGTCCCAGCCACAACTTCCTTGTGTCAAAGCTAATAACCCTATTGAGTAGAAGCTTTATTCAATTCAGTACAGCTTCTTTTTGGGTGCCTTTTGGGTACTTGAAAATTTGTTTTCAGTACCACCATGGGTGAAGTTCTAAACAAGCTATACCATTGTCAAAACTTTCTATACATACGCTACTAATTATTGATTGTTCAGGGAGAATCGTCACTACCAGCATCACGGTCACACACGACTAAACATTTTTATACCACCACAAGAAAAAGACATGTAAAATGGCAGCATCTTAGTCAGTAGAATAGCGGTACTAAACTGCAGTGGAAATACAAAACAAGAAGAACAAATCAAATCTGAGGTAATCAGATCTATGCCAAAATGTTCTGTGCGGTGAAAAAAATGTTAAAATTCTTAGCTGTTCCTGTAGTGTGAACAAGTCAAAAAGCAGCAAAGTTATGCCAATAGTACTAAGTAAAAAACTGCAAACCTGTGGCAGGTCTCATGTCAAGTGGAGAAATAATAGAGATAACAAGATGCAATTTGACTGGGGTTTCTGCAATCCAGCTGGATTTCAGTGGAGAGTTAGATACTGAAAAGAAAACTCAAATCTGTCTACATTAACACAGCAGGGAAATAGGTTTTCTGTTTTACCTGTAGTGTTAAAACAATTATATTTACACAGATGTTAGTCAAGAAAGAGAATGGCAAAAAGAGTTGTTAACTCAAGCAGCTTGATGGGATATTTTCTTCATTCTGTCTAGATTCAAGACAGTAAACTCTGTCAGGCTATGACATTAAAGAAAATACTGTTGTAAATGGTCATAGAATAGGCAAGGATGCATGGTTCAAGTTAGCACTGCTTAAGTCACATTGCACATTTCTAACTTATTATCATTAAAGGGGACATATTTTGCCCCTTTTGATGTAAAATAAGTCTATAATGTCCTTACGCCCTATTCACACGGGGCGTCAGCGTCAACGCTTCCCATTCACTTTGAATGGGTGACGTCAGGCGTTGCCGAACTGCATTGTGGATCCGTCGGCGCCGCTTCAGAAGCGTTCCTCGCTGCAGAAGTTGGGACCAGCTCAACTTTTCAAGCGCCGACGGAAGCGTCAGCCAATCAGATCGCTGTATGCAAATACACCAGCTCAGACAGTGGCCTATTGCTGACTGAATTTCATTGGCTGACGCTTCTATGACGATCGTTTCAGCTCCAACTTCAGACACGCCCTCTGTCAAGCGTTGACGCTGAAGCCCCGTGTGAATAGGGCGTTAGAGCATGTATGTGAAGTTTCAGCTCAAAATACCCAGCAAATAATGTTTTAACTCTTTGAAATTGACCCCTTTTAGGCTTGGATCGTAATTGTGGCTTTTTGGTGACTGTAGCTTTAAATTCAAATAAGATAGTGCTCCCAACACTCTTTTCAAAAGAGGAAGCTTCAAATGTCTATGTGTCAGCATATGGGAAGATTCAAAAACAAGCATCCAATGCTATTGAGGGAGACATCGGCTGTTGGCTGAGACTGAATAAAGGAGGTGGGAAGTGCAGCATTTTATATAGATTTATTATTAAAGTTCAGATATATAACTTATTTATCTCAGGAGTTTGCCTAAATGAGACTGTAAAAGTTAACCTTTGATGAAATTCATATTAAAATCTGTTTTATTTGTATTATGCAACATATTTTTAAGGTCTTTATGCATAGTATATATTGTGAAATGGGGAAAACGATAAATTGTTGTATGAATGTTGTAATGTTTCAATAATTTTCCATTAAAAACAGGTGAATTTCATGACACCATAAGGAAGGACCAGGGAAGAACGCAACATCGAATATTGAAACTCAGAGGACGCGTTCTATGTTCTTGCGGTCTCCCCAGTTTGTTCTTCCAAGGTAACTTGGAAACTAGGTTTCCACAACAATGCAATGAGTCCATTTAATTCTTTGCCTACTTGGAATTGAGAAACAGCCATTGTCACCAATGGGTGGGACTTTCCCACTGTAAAGTATTTTAACAGATAATTTTATAAGGTGTGATTATATCAAAAAAATTTAATACATTTTTAGAAATAGAAGCTGGTCATATTCGCAGATTGTTTCCACAAAAGTGTGTTTAAACCTTTTATAAATGTGATATAGCATAATAGGTCTCTTTCAAAGCTAAAAGAGAATTGCTTCAGTTTACCATTCATTCAGACATACTGTAACTTGAGTATACAAGACGACTTAAGAGTCACAACAGCCAATAAAAGGACAGTCAATCTTCATTTTTCACTGACTGATCGTCCAAACGCAGCTATCATAATTGTGAAGATGATATATTCAGGTACACAGTTTAGGGGCAAACAAGCCAATTGTTTTACTCTCCTTGTCCACCAAACATATCCCATCCAGCACTGACACACAGCATTACTCATTCACTCTCAAAAAACACAGCCATAACTCTTTCACTTAAAATAAAGAGATATTACATGAAGCTCTTCACCTGTATATTGGGTCTTGCATCACCATCATCTTGCTTTCATCCCAGGTCCATTCTTTTTTCTGCAGGAAATGAAAGTGATCATTTCAGTTCACGACAAGCCAGGCTTTAATATATGATAATATATCCCAGGCAGAAGCGCGCTCTATCAATTTTCTCATTTAAGTTCCAGCTCCAAATTAAACCAAGAGATAAAGCACCTGTGTAAATCAATAATTTAAGTTTAAATGAACATCACAGGGTAACTTAAGATGCAGAAATTGCAGTGACTGACTGTACCCATTAACTTTGAGGCAAGCATCTTGCTAAAGGACAAAAGCATCCTGGAAAACAGTGTAAGGAAAGGTGTCTTGCCAAAGGGTGAACATGGATTTATTCTCAATTGAACTCAAAAACACCATGTTAAAACCCCATGTTACCCACAGACTTTAAGCTTAATGCTGGCTACCATCACCCCCAACAAAATAATAACCTGCAGCTATTGTTACTAAAAATGAGGCAGAATTGATGCTGTTCACCCATAGCAACCTGACACCGATTCAAGTTTCCTCTAGGGATGTTACAAAATATATTCATACTGGAAATAAACACTTACAGTGATTCAATTTACAGCTCGACAATTTATAGCAGAGAATATTCATTCATTAAAGCCAATTAAAGATCGTTAAAAACTCACTGATGCCTAAAATAAGAAAATGTTGAGTTCATGCTGCATTTCATGAGGCTTTGTGTATTTAAAATTATATAATAGTACATAAAAGTAACATAATAATTATTATTTTTAAGCATTCCACGCACGCACGCACGCACTCACACTCACACACACACAGACACAATTTATGGGTCTACATTCCAAATAGTTTGTGTTGCTGATCCAGGTAATTTTTACTTAAAAAAAAAAAAAAAATACAGTAATTATTAAAAAATAACACATAAAATTAATTAATGAAAAAATATTTGAAAGTTAGTATAGAAAAATAAATGTGTAAGTAAGGAAGGTTGTGTAACTCTCATCGCTAAATCGCAAAAAAACTAGTTTTTCGTCATTTAGCGAGTTATATAACCTTTCTATGGCTTAATCTCTACCATGAATCTGTTTTAGATCTTGTCTTATAAATAAAGAAGCTTTATTTTTATGAATTGTGTCATTATCTTTGTATCAGATTGCACACCTATAGTAGGTTACCTAATATGGTAAATATGTGTGTGGTGTAATGGATCACAAATCTCACAGTTCAGATCACACTACAGTTAAGTCACAGATCTGAACATTTTTCAAATCAGAAAAAAAGGGGGGAGACAAATATCATTTGCTTTCCATATATAAAATATATTACTGCAAAAACCATACAACAATGTTTTAACAAACATAACTTAGAAAATATAATTTTAATAAAAACAAAAATCAAGAAAGAACCAGCTGAAAAAAGGAAAATACTGTTTTAGTATTTGCTATTGTTTCTGATAATGCTAAATATAGAAATCTAACATCTTGTACAACATATCATATTTATTTTCAAATATGATTCAACATATCATTTCAAATGATTCAACAATTGACTAATAAACCTCATGTTTCTATATAGGTATATCATTTTTGAAAACGTATTCAGTGAAATAATTTTGATGTCTTTTGTCGCCACCCATTGGTTACACAATATAATAGCTACAACATTCACCATCGTCAAGTTCTATTAAAGGTGATTTAAATCTTATCATGAGCATCTGTGTTTTTATCTAAACAAAAAAAAAAAAAAAACTGTTATCTTAGTACTTCTGTGTTATTTAATTGTTTGTGACTAACTGAAAAAGTATAAAAAAACTTTATCTCTCCATTAAACGCGATTCGAAGGATTAATATCATACAAATTACAATTATTTACCATTTATTTTGTGCGGGTTTAAATTGAGTTGTTATTCGTTGTTGTGAACAGCATCTTCTATTAACAAACCTCAATTAGTACAAAATGCAGCAGCCAGAGTTCTGACCAGGTCTAGAAAATATGATCATATCACCCCTATTTTATCCTCCTTACACCGGCTGCCTGTTAAGTTTCGTATTGAATTTAAAATATTACTTCTCACCTATAAAGCTCTAAATAATCTAGCTCCTGTTTATCTAACCAACCTTCTGTCTTGCTACAATCCAACTCGCTCTTTAAGATCTCAAAACTCTGGTAGTACCTAGAATAGCAAAATCAAGTAAAGGAGGTCGAGCCTTCTCTTTCATGGCTCCTACACTCTGGAATAGCCTTCCTGATAACGTCCGAGGCTCAGACACACTCTCCCAGTTCAAAACTAGATTAAAGACCTATCTGTTTAGTAAAGCATACACTCAATGCATCACCTAGTGGGTTCCACACAGGCTTCTGCATCTTGCTTATATACACTATGAACAGCAGCTACGCTAATTATTCTCTTTATTCTCTATTTTCACCTGGGGATACTAATCTCGAGGTCCTCAGATTATGCAGTCACTGATTGGATCCAAGACCAGCGACGAGATGATCCCAAGGTTTCCATATCCGGGACCAGGCCATATCCTGAGCTGCTGCTGCGCTGATGGTCGTGGGGAGTGGAGAACATGAGTCTGATTCCAGCGACGCTCCAGGGACAGACAAGTCTTCGCTGAGGCCATCTTCCAGCCTCCACCGCGGTGACTGAAGCTCTGCACAAGACTTTTGGCCCGCGGAGAAATTAAAATGGTCGTGCCCAACTGAGTCTGGTTCTCTCAAGGCTTTTTTTCTTCACTCCCATCAGGTGAAGTTTTTTCCCTCTCCGCTGTCGCCACTGGCTCGCATGGTTCAGGATTGGTAGAGCTTCGCATCGATGAATTTGCTCTTCAGTGTTTGAACTCTCAGTAATGATTTTAAATCACACTGAACTGAGATAAACTGAACTGAACTGAACTTAATATATATGTAGTGTGTGTATCTCAATGCAGTCCGAAATTTTTATAAAAAATTTGCATTTTTATCAGGCATCTGTGTGCATGTTTTTTTATAGCAAAGAATAAGTCCTTTTTCTTTTTAAGTGAAATAACTCAACATAAACAAAGCAGGCTGAGAAAAAAAAACTTAATTTTTCATGGAAATTATAGACTGCACTTAAAGGTTTTTGCATCTGAACTCTTCAAATAACATTACATGGCTTTAATTTCCAAATGAACAAAACACTCTAATTAAAACAACAGGAATTAACAGCAAACAAAAATGAACAAACAGAAGCTTACCTTTTTCTTTTTCCGCAGGGCTACTTTTACTCCATCCACAGACACAATGATGTTGACTTTCTTCTTTTTGATATTCTTCACCTTAAATTCATACTGTAAAAACGAGAGAAAAGATAGAGATCAGTATAGGAGGAAATATCAATATGTAGCAATTATTTCTCCACCCTTCCAGGACACCCAAGGATACTTCTATTAATTAAATTCAATCCGACACCCGTTTAAACCGAAATCACACGCTCCGTCCTCTGCAAACGTCAATAACTTCACCCCCGTTTTATTGGCATTCAGGGCCTTGCAGAGAACCAGCTCAAATGCCATTAACGTTTCGACAACCCGAAATGCAAGATTGGAGCTTTTAAACGAGCAGAGAGCTTATCAACTTTGTGGAAATCGGAAATAGAACAGCAAAGCCCTTGAAGTGCATCCGGGTAAAATGGAAGTTCTCCAGTAAATGGGTTTCTCTACAGCTCCCAAAAAGTTAACTTTTAGATTTTTTTTTTTGCTATTCAGAGAGGCATTAGACTGCTTAGAGATGTATGGATGTAGCTGCCGGTACAAACAACTGTGAGCAAACACTCTTACACAAGTAAACAAGAGTCTCCGCAGGGACAGAATGAAGAGCAGCGTGTCCTCATTTATCATTCCTACGCATGAACGGCATGCAAGTTCATATGGATACACTGCAATATTGTATCAAGGTAGATTAAGGTGGTTCAAATTGTTGCAGTTCAACTGTTGTGTCACCATTTACTAGTTGCAAACCTGTATGACTTTTTTCATATTGAACACAAAAGAAGATATTTTGAAGAATGTTGGAAACTGGTCACCACTGACTTATTTTCTCAGGTTTCAAAATATCATTCGTGAACTCAAAAAGAGTTGGAATCCCTTGATGGTGAGATTTAAATGATGACATACAGTTAAATTCACAATTATTAGGCAAAATTGGGGAAAAGATTATATATACTGGGGTGCTACTAATTTAGGAGGGCTAATGATTCTTAATAAGACTTTAATTGTACATTTCATTTTAAGTTTTACTACACGTAAGTCAAGCCTGTATACCTGGCAAAATATTTTACACTGTCAGAAAATGAGGGCTACTCTGCATCTCTCATGTTCACAAGCTAATGTTAGATAATGAGGAGAAATACTGACTTTTATGTGTCTTGCAGCTTTTAGAAATGCATATGAAAGAAAAAGTGGATATTACAGTTTATTTGTGGGCTGTTTGATAAATCTGAGTGGCCGGCCCAAACTATGGACCACAAAGATGAACAAATGTGTGTAAAACTAACAATATAATTATGCATTACATTTAAAATTAACCATAAAATAGTTATAATTAATACTAAATATTTAGGGGCAGCACATTAGCGCAGTAGGTAGCACAATGGCCTCACAGCAAGAAGGTTGCTGGTTCAAGCCCCGGCTGGGTAAGTTGGCATGTTCTCCCTGTGTTCGCGTGGGTTTCCTCCGGGTGCTCCGGTTTCCCCCACAGTCCAAAGACATGTGGTACAGGGGAATTGAATAAGCTAAATTGGCTGTAGTGTATGGGAGTGTGTGCAAGTGTGTGTGGGTGTTTCCCAGGGTTGGGTTGCAGCTGGAAGGGCATCCGCTGCATAAAACATATGCTGGATAAGTTTGCGATTCATTCCGCTGTGGTGACCCCAGATTAATAAAGGAACTAAGCCTAAAAGAAAATGAATAAATGAATAAATGAATGAATGAAATAATATTTATACATAAACTGCTTCTGATAGCTGTACACTCCAAAGTCAATAAATAAACAACAAATAAATAAACAAACAATTATTAGTTGTGTATATTATTAGTTGGTGTAACATAATTGTGTTGTTATTAATTTATTAATATAATTAATTATAAATAATAATTGTATTATTTCAACTTATCTTAGGCATTTGGAAGCCTTGAGAAAAAAAGTACTTTGCACTAATTATATAAAAACATTTTCATTTGAATTAGCTTGTAAATGACTCTTGCCTGGAACACAGCTTACTGTTGTTAAGCCAATTACTCTCAATCACTTCTGGACAACTGGATTTTTTTCTCATTTATTACAGTTCAAACTTAACAACTGCTTTAATAATGGTGTTGACTGAGACTGATCTGGCTCACTGAGCAAAGCAACAAGCGTTGTTAATAAGGCTGTCAACGCCCAAAGTGCTACTTTTTTGCAAAGCCATAACCTCAAAACCTCACTTTAAACTCTTCTAATTCTACAAACTAAGTCAAGATTAATCTCTAACAAGTCTTTTTTAAAACACCTAAAATTACATTTTTTGTCAACATTTTGACCTCTTAATGAAATCATGCAAAGTATACCTAGAATATTCATCACCCAGGTAGTGACACCTACACAATTCTTTCATTATCATGCTGTCTCAAAACAAAACCATCAAGTTACTTTAGTTAAGTGGATTAAAAATAAAACAATTTGTATAAAAAAATACAGAATTACAGAAAAAAAGCTAATTTCAGCTCATTTCATATAAAAATTTGATAAGCAGCATAACTAGCTTTTGTTAAGTTAAATTAAAAGTATGTGAAAACTAAATAAGGGCACAGATCTCTGCAATACTTGTTTCTGACGGAATTAGAATTTTCAGAGAATCCCAGAGAGTTTTCTGCAGTCAATAGGCATTACAAATGTAGTATGAGTTTATTCAAACTTGTCATAATCTGCCAAGAATATCTCTGAAACACAAATGTCTTTAACTCCTTAACTCTCACCCCAAAATCTGGAATTTTTATCCAGTTAAGAGGCTAATGACCCTTGAAAAACATTTAAAATAGCACTTAAAGGGATAGTTCACCTAAAACTGAAATTTCTGTCATCATTCCTCACCCTTCACTTGTTCTAAACCTGATTGTGTTTGTTTCTTTTCTGTTGCACAAATTATAAGAAAGCTAAAATCCTGTAACCTTTGACTTTCATTGTTTTTTTTCTACCACAAGAGTCAATGGTTACAGGTTTACAGCTTTCTTCAAAATATCTTCTTTTTTCTTTAACAAACAAAAGAACTTAAACAGGTTTACAACAAGTGACCGGTGAGTAAATGGTGAGTATATTGTTGACTGTGCATTTGAGAGTTTGACTATAGCTGCTTCCCAATTCACAAAATATATATCCTTAAACAGTATTCAAAAACAAAGTTAGTACGTCCCAAACCATAATATGTTGAAAAGAGAACCATAAGTGATGTTTTTTAAGGATGCAAATAAGATTGGAAAATAGAAGAATCACTGCAACCAGTAGTATGAAATAAATCAAAGTTCTCTGCCAGCATTTATGCTAATACCTGCCTAAGAGCTCCAATACTGTAAATCATATTGTCACAGTCTTAATCACTGTGACATCCAGAGTGCTGATTAAATAAAATAATTTAAAATGTACAATAAATACAACTATCAGTGACAAGATAATTCATACATTAAATTAATTCAAAATAGTGTGTAATCATAATAAATATTAAAATTTTATTATAAAAACACGATACAAGAAAAAGGGAAAACATTATAAATAAACAAGTAGATGCTGAGGGCAGGTTTGATTTAAGTGGTTTTCTTTCCCTCACTCTTAATAATGATAATTAAAAACAGTTCAGTAAACAGTTCTAATATAGAAGCTTTTAATGATCTTCTCTACCATGAAGAATGTTTTGCAGAATAAAAAAGTTCCAGGGATGTTAAATTGATGCAATGCTTTTATTAGAAACTCAATAAAGAAGGAGGGAAGGTCAATAACCTTAGAAACCTTCATTGTTTGCTTATACTATGACTTTTTTATATGACGTCAATAAAAATTCCATAAGTGTATTCAACTCTCTAAATCCATAAAAACATTTGAAAAAAAAAAAAACTAAAAACAAATTTTTTCAAGCACATAGTAACCAGGTGACAGCACACGTTTACCACAATTTTCCATTTCCAACCATTCTCTGCAGTAATGCCTTCCTGTTTGCCTCTTTTTAATTGAGTTCTTTCATCCACCTGGTCCCCATTTCTAGTCTCTCAGCAGGTGCTGAGTGGAATTTCATCTAGTATTGACACACTGGGGTCAAAAAAGATACAGACACTGCTGCCTGTAAGAGACCAATGAATTAAAGATTAAACCCAAAGATAAAACCTTTTCACAAAAGTAATTCAACTCTTCTTAAAAAGAAACAGGACTGGAGGGTTTAAATCTGCAATGTTATCATAAAAAGTATTTTGCATATTAAATAATAATCAAAGATATATGAGAACAGCAACATTTGATTTGCTCAGGAATCAAGATGTGAATTGCAGGCCTGGCTAAGCTTGAAATCCGAACGAAGTTGAGCTCTGCATACTCAAAAGACAAACAAAGAGGAGCATTGAGCTTATCTTGAATTCCTCTCTGAGCTAAAACTGCAAGGTCAAAGCAGAGTTCAAACAACCAGCCAGAAAACTACCTATGCTTTCAGATATATCCTGAGCCAAACCTGAATGTTTTACACGGCAAACTGGGAAAACAATCTATTGCATACATAATGGGCTAAACTATGGCTGTGATTCCTGCACTGAACACAGATTATTGCTGTTGCACACTGTAAAAAAAATGTCTGTAAATTTGCAGTTTTTCGTATTTTGTGATTTATGTTGTTATTTTCCCCCAAATTGTCTATGCTTTTTTAATTGCATTATGGGACCCTTATCGTTCTTCCAACAACATTTAACATTGAAAATGTGTAAAAAGTGACTTTTAATAACATTTTAACAGTTTAAAGTGACATATTGCCTGGATTGGTGTTGTATATTATGGTACAAAACTTTGTAATAAACCACCAGTACATCTTCCTATATTTTATTTCTTATACACTATATTATATCAAACTACAAAAAATGTCAATTAAAAGTCACTTTGTTAAACTGTAGAGTTGAATTTTTGACATCAAAAGTCGACAGCAGAGATCATGGTCCCACTATGGAACCTATGGAAAATAGAGAAACTTAATTAACATATAATGTTACAGTCCAATGGAAAATAAATTAGATTAATATGACATATTCGATCAACCAATTCCTTAATAAAGTCTTGTTGACTCTAC